AGTAATTATGGAGGGTAGTTTTTGTAAATTCAATTACTATAAATAAGAGCCTTGGGCTCTCATATTTCTTGCACCATTCTCTTGATTCAAGAGTCTTTCTCTTCTTATCCCCCGAGCATTTCGGTCCCTCGTGATTCGACTTCTCTTTCTGTAGTTTTAGTATAGTAAGGTGAGCGCTGAAGCGCTGCACGAATCTTTCTTAGAAAGATTCAGCGACGAAGTTCTGCCCCTGCAGAGCCCGACTCCTAGCTAAAACCCCTTTGTAAGTAAGTTATGATTACCCTATTTTAATATAGTTTATATTTAAAATTAGTATTGTTATTATGAACTTATAATAAATATTTGAGCTATTATTATGACTTGTATAACTGTCGTTATAATATCTTTTTAACTACTCGCGGTACGGGGAATCTGGTTTAAAGGGCCGCATAGGGTTGTTGGATTTTAGAAGTGCTATATGCCAAAATGGTCCTGCCCTCCGGTGTTTTATGCCTGGCCCCTGTCTGTACATAGTGGTTGGAAAGTATTGTTTAAACGCTTATATAATAATAATAATAATAATAATAATAATAATAATAATAATAATAATAATAATAATAATAATAATAATAAGACTAATAATTAGCCATGGTAAATATTAGACTAAAATCTAGTGGTAATAATACTAGGTTTCGTCGAAGGAAATTATTTTAAAGTAAACGAAGCGCTGTCCGAGTACCGAGTCACAACCTTATCAAGTGAGTGCATAGTTACTTTCATCTTACACATAGATATGAAGTATTTTATATAAATTACGTGCTATGTGTGCATACTATCTGAATACTTGCTGTCTATGCTCGATGAATGATTTTATACATGTTTTAAAATGATTTTAAACTGTATATGTATTTTATATCTACAAATATGTTGGGTATGACATGGGTAGATGAAATAGTTGGTGTGTAATGAAATAAAATGATGAGAGATAGGTGATGATATGAAGGTGATGATAATTAGGTGAGGATAGATAGGTGATGATGAATTGGAGATGTAGGATGAAAGATACCATAACCTTGTCCGACAATGTAGAGATGTAGTCATCTACCAGAGTATAGATGGCGACCACGGACTATTCTACACAACCCCGTGGAAACACCAGCAGGCTCATAACATGTAGGTGATGAATTACGAGTTCAGGCGATGTTGTAACTACGTATTCATGTGATGATACTCTAACCCTTACTATGAATTACGAGTTCAGGCGATGTTGTAACTACGTATTCATGCGATGATACTCCAACCCTTACTAGGCGCGTATTGAGGGGGTAATCCCCGGATCATTACTGATTATGTGATGTAGGCAATGATCCTCAAGAAAAGTCCTTAGGAACGAACATATAAGGAAATGTGATGTAAAGAGATGAGAGGTAAATACGATATAGGAGATGACCCTTAAGATAATTCTTTAGGGAATATTAAATGAAGAAAATGGGGATGGGCAATCGGGTTAATTGTTTGACATGTATTATGTGAAGAAACAAATTAACTATATTATTGTGGGTTGCAAACCCTATCTACTCACCAGGTTTCCCAACCAGACCCACTCAAGCTTATTTGTATCACAGGTGTCGATATGAAGCTACTTTATACTGAGAGATTAAAGGGATGTAGATCACTAGTGTAAATAAATGTAAGTTCTGTTTATACTTATGTTTCTGTATTGACGATGACATCCCAAATGTTTTAAAATGAATAAAATACATTTCTTAGGAAATGCTTTGATAACGTATTTATCATGTTTTTCTGGGAACAAATTCCGCAACATTTTTATCAAAAGAAGTACTCTGATTTTTATAAAGCATAAACAAAATCGGTCTTTTCTGGCCGTGAAAATGGGGATGTCACAAATATGTAGGGCTATGTCACTGGGACTAAAGCCAAACCCTTAGTGCCTCAAGCTGAGAATTTCGATTTGTTGGTTGATGCTTGGGAGACAGATAACTCCAAGGTCATTACTTGGATTAATAATTATGTTACTCAGTCTATTGGTATGTAGTTGGCTAAATATGACATAACAAATGAAGTTTGGAATCACTTGGAGAGACTGTATACTCAGTCAAACTTTGCTAAACATTATCAGTTAGAATATGATATTTGTGCCCTTCAACAAAATGACAAGAGCATTCAAGATTTCTATGCTGCTATGTCTGATTTGTGTGATCAATTGGCTCTTACTAAATCTAAAGAGTTAAAAGACTTTGATCCTTACATTGCAAGGAGGGAAGAACAATGTTTGGTCCAGTTCTTGATGGCCTTGCGTTCTGATTTTGAAGGCCTACGTGGAACGATTCTTCATCGCTCCTCTTCCCTCAGTGGATTCTGTTGTTCATGAGTTGATGCTGAGGAGACTCATATCAAGTCTCATGCGGATAAAGGGTTTAAAGCAACCTCTATTCCTACTTCCACTCCTGTTGTGCTTGTTGTTTCCTCTAATCAGTATTGACAAACTTCAAGGGTTGCTTATGATGAGTGTGCATTATGCAAATAGAAAAATCATTGGAAATCTCAGTGTCCATTGTTAGTCAACAAGGGTAAATCTGGTCAGCCTCAGTCGAGACAACAAAATAGGTATGGTCAACAGAAGTTTCAGCCACGTTCCTCTGGTACTCCTCTATGGACACCTCATCCTCCATAGTTTGCTGCTGCTACACCACCAGTTGACATAGAATCTGTTGGAAACATGCCACCATCTGCATTGGATCCCAAGGTTTTTGAGAGTTTCAGACAATATTTGGCCTCTAATCCCACTGCCATGTCTACATATATGTCTCATTTTGGTCCTACTTCATCCAGTACATAGGTATTCCCCCATATTTGTGGATTTTAGATTCTGGTGCAACCCATCACATGAATCCTCATTTGTCATCATTTACTTATTTGTCACATGTGTCATCTATTTCTGTTATGTATGCTAGTGATACATCTATGCTAGTTGAGGGTGTTGGGTCTGTCTCTATTTCTCATATCACTTTACCTGATGATTATTACATTCCCAAACATTCAAAAAATATTGTCTCAGTCAGTCAGTTGTGTAAGTCTGGTAACTGGGTGTTCTTTTCTGATTTTGTCTGTGTTATACAGGATCAACACACCCAGAAGGTGATTGGGATCGGCCGTAGGGTGGGGAAACTGTATGTCTTGGAGGTTCTCAAAGTATCTGTTGTTGCCGCCTCAAGCATTGATTTGTCTTCTTTTCGTTTGATTCCTTTATCATCTGAGTTTTATCTTTGGCATTCTTGTTTGGAACATATGTTTGTATCACGTTTGAGTTTTCTAGCATCTAGTGGTGTTTTGGGTCATTTGAACACTTGTGATATTTCTGATTGTAGTGGTTCTAAACTGGAAAAATTATTTGCTTTGCCTTTCAATAAAAGTATGTCTTGTTCTACTGCTCCTTTTGATATTATTCATTATGATGTGTGGGGTCCTGCACTAGTATCCACAAAGGGTGGGTCAACCTATTATGTATCTTTTGAAGATGATTATACTCGATATACATGGGTTTTTCTTATGAAACACATATCTGATTTCACTGGCATTTACAACAATTTTAGAGGTCTTGTTAAAAACTCAACATTCGGCTGTGATTAAGTGCTTCAGGTGTGACTAAGGGGTGAATATACCTCTAATAATTTTACTCAGTTACTTGCTTCTGATGGTACCATACACCAGTCATCGTGTACTGATACTCCTCAACAAAATGGTGTGGCAGAAAAAAAACACCGTCATATTGTTGAGACAGCCCGCTCATTGCTCCTGTCTGCGCATGTCCCTAGTGCCTTTTGGGGAGAAGCAGTCCTAACTGTTGTTTTTGTGATTAATCGTATCCCTACTTCATTGAATTCAGGAATGTATCCTTTTGAGAAGCTATATGGTCACATACCAGACTACTCTTCCTTACTAGTTTTTGGATGTACGGATTTTTTTCTTCGTCATCATCTTGAGAGGACCAAGTTGGGGCCGAAATATGCTATTTGTGTATTTTTGGGGTATGGTGTTGGACAGAAAGGATACCGTGATCCTGTGAGTCAGAAGTTATGTGTTTCCCTGCATGTCACTTTTTTCGAACATATTCATTTATACTCGATTCCTGCTACAGCCCACAATGTAACGAAGTCATATCTTCTGCATATTGATCCTTTTGTTGAAGAGATAGAGGCTCGAGACCCATCTATGCCACCTGATCCTTCAGCTCATGACACACCCACTTCTTCAGAGAGTTCCTCGACTCCCCCTATTCCTGAGTCTGCTCCTTCGACTGTTGAAATTGAATATCCACCTCCACCACCACCCCTCACGAGATCTACTCATCCTATCAAGTCCAACAAGCTGCCATATTTTGCCTACTCTACATACTCAGGACCATTTGCTTTATTTATAGCGAGCATTCATCATCTTTTTGAACCTGAATCGTATAGAGAAGCTGTTTTAGATCCTCTTTAGCAGAATGCTATGGTTGAGGAACTCATTGCTTTTTGAACCTGAACGATAGGTTTTCGCCGGGAGTACAAGATAAAAACAAAAGTTGATAGGTCTGTTGAGCGGTACAAGGTCAGACTTGTAGCAAAAGGGTATTCCCATCAATACGGTTTGAAAATATTGTTTCCAGAAAATTGTTCGCAAATCTCCCGATGCTAATTAGTAGAGTTCTAGATGCATGCGGCTGCATATTAAACGAGACAAGCAAGTAAAAACTACCATATACCTGTCTACTTGCTTTAAGTACCAACCAGCATATTAAATACGTGGGCACATATATCAATGGACCACACATCATTTTATGATATTTTAATTGTTTATTAATAGAACAGTTTAACACTGCAACATGACATAATTGCAAGTGATGACCATACAATGATCCACCACAATTACTAATTTAGGACAACTTATCATACATAATAGAAACAAAGCATTGCTAGAGTTGATATTATTCCCCCCAAAAGGGTTTTACAACTCCGAATGCATAGTCTTAGAGTACAAGAGAGTGTATATATATGTTGACTAACTATTTTAAATTACTTGTGTATATCATCAATCCCCCTTGGATTCTCTTACTTGAATACCCACATTAGATATTTAAGGAAGAATTGACAAGAGTAGTTCTAGCCTTTTAGGGCTGTAAATTGTGGATTGGTGGTTTGCGATGGGGCTGTGCATAGTCCATGACTCCGACATCTTCAGTAACACTGCTATCCTTGGAATTATTTATTTTTTCTTTCGAATCCTTTTGCTTAGACTCCATTGTCAAACGAGCATGATTCTTCCATCCCTACAAAAAAAAACATATATATAAGATCGAAATAAAGATGTGTACGTATATATTTGATAAAAAGACTTGATCATCCATCAAGTACTTGATTATATTGGTAATAGTTTGTAATCTAGAAACCCTATAAATATATTCGAGTATTAACAAATCGATATGGTAGTATGCGTCATTAATTGCTACTTTTTATAAATTGATAAATCTTTCACGGGAGATATATGAAAGTTGATATTTCTTTAATTACGAAATATGATATCGAGATCGAGATCACGAACATATGTGTATTTGAAATTCAAATCTAGTAATGAAACCTGGGCGATATGAAACTTTCTGCTTTGGAGTTATATATAGTAGTTTGAGAAGTAAATTTATGGATGGTATGCGTGCGTGCAAAATTATTTTTGTTTTGTTTTTGAGACTCACACAAATCTTACCCAAATGTACTTGGGTGGGGGGGTTAAAATACATGATTACAAAATGTGTCTTACCTGTGGTTTGGTTCCATCTTGAAAAAGTTTTAACTCGATATCATTTCCTGCAAGCAACATATATACCATGTCAACATAAATAGCTACATTAACAGACGAATTCTTTCACAAACACATAAAATCATAATAACCTTTATGCATCTTCAGTTCTTCTGAAGGAAACTCAAGCTTGGACTCCTTATCTTCCATATTAGTTTCATTACAGTTTCTTCCTTCGTTTCCAGCCCTTATTTCTGGTGCCTGGATTAAACAAACAAACCAATCATATATCTCAGTCATATTATATTACTTTTGAACATGAAAATTAATTAGTTAGCTAGGGCACAAACCTTGCTAGTAATCAGATGAAGTTCTTTCCCGGGTTCCTTGTGGAAGACTCCAAGATGGCGAGAATCGCATGCATGCATGGAAACACAAAGGTGGATCACGAGATAGTAAACAAGGAAATACATTTTTTTTTCTCAAGGGAATATGAATAGCAAATGGTTTATTTATATCGTGGAGGTATGTTTTCAACTGTTGAATGTTGGTTTACTCCGACTAGAGATGGCCGTTTCAATATGTGGTTGTGTTGGTTTCTGATCACACATTATATTGTTAATTTATATATACAAAAACTGGGGTAGGGGCCTGGGGGGAATTGGGGTAATTGAATGCAGATATTGTAAGAGGAATGGAAGGAAGGGATGTTTAAACTTTAAAGAGAGAACATGGAAGTGTTTGGTGATGAATCTTTAATTAAAGATATTGGCATCCTCTATTGTCCCCTTCTCCTTATCACTTTTTATTAATTACGTGGGACCTCTTTATCGGAGTTGCATAAATCATAATAGAGTTACGTAGATGCATGCAGATGAATTCAAAGCACCGGAGATATACATAGAGTTCAAACTTTAAATTTGTTCGAGTTCGGATTCCACACAAGTGATCTCTGTGACTCTGTGTGTAATACACCCAGATGATAAGTGCTCGATATTCATTTACTGTTAGATGACGGAAAGAAGCATTTAATTAGTTTTTATTAATTATTTTTGTTTGTCTTGGATCATCTAATTGAGTTTGAGAAGAACCATGTGAAACTTGCATTTGAGGTTTGACAAGATTCATAAATTTGCAAATATAGGTGGGAACCACAAGGAGTGGGTTTCCAGAGACAAAGATGAATGGCTAAACCGCCACTTGCACCACCACTACACGACAGTGACGGGGCCGTGGAATGGTTACCCCACCCCCCAGATCCACCACTCCGTGCCACGTGGCATCTTCCCCATGTTACATTGCTCTCAATCACAAATATGGTAGTCAAGGACGAAGTAACCCTTGATCATCTTCCAAACCTAACACCCCGTATCTCTGTCAGATCATCTTATGTTCAATCATTATATATATCGGTTTTTGTCATAAACAAAATTGGGTTTTATGATCAGATAAAGTTTAACGTTATTATATTTTTTACATTCTTTATAATTAATAGTTCAACAAGAGTTATTAATTTTCTTGCTATATACAAAAACAAATAACTTTCTTGAAAACCAAAATAAATGCAACTGATCAGTAGCTAAATATAATTTATTTTTCTACTTGAGATGAGATTAATTGGCGTAAAACATTTTATGTTTCATTGCCAACCAGTATACGAAATGCGAGTATTAGCGTCGACAGACGTCACTAATACATGTCCATGGCCCCGTCACTATCGTGTTGTTGCCTCACTGCAAATGCTCCATATGTCGCCGTTATTGCTATTCGTTGCCGCCAATACCCTGTCATCGCTAATACTCGTCGTTGCCGCTAAAGTCATGTCGCCACTAATACACGTCCGTCATCACTAAAGGCGTCGCCGTTAATTGCATTTTCTTATTTCTTTAGTATTTAACATTAAAATTAGAAAAAAAACATAATAAAAAGTAAAATCTACTACAAAACATTATTTTGCAGATCATAGTTCGGAACATTAACCACTTAATAATATACACAACATCAGATCCAAATAATTAATCCAAACATCTGGTCCAAAATATTCATCTAAACATAGTGCAATATATCCAAAATACTAGTCTAAAATACTAACTCAAACAAAACATTTCATAAATCATAAAAGTAGCTACGTGTCCTCATCACACCCCTCGTTTCCTTTGTTTTCATTTCGTGGCGACAACGATCGAAACCACTCTTGCAATGCCGCACTACATGTCGGGTCTTTTAGCATTGTCTGCAGCATGTCCAACTAAATAAACAAAATATATTACCAACATATCATAATTAATAACATTCTACTTCACAAATTAAGGTAATACTGATTATATCATCCTATTTTTTCCATTATAACATTGTACTTTCCAAATATATTTAAACATACATCCTACACAATATTGCATATACATTATAGCATTGTACTTTTCTTTTATTTTTCCATTATAGCATTGTACTAATATTAAACTAACAATTACCAAACTACAAAATATCAACATATCAAACTATAACCAAAGTACATCCTACACATATTGCATATACATTATAGCATTGTACTTTTTTCATTTGTCCATTATAGCATTTTACTATACTAAACTAACAATTACCAAACTACAAAATATCAAAATATCAAACTATAACCAAACTACATCATACATATAATTAGGCCTGACAATTGGGTTGGGTTCGGGTTGGTGGGTCACGGGTTGGTGGGTTGGCGGGTCAGAGAGTTGTCACCCCTACATATAATGCATATACATTATAACATTGTATTTTTTTCATTTTTTCAATATAGCATCGTACTATAATTAACTAAACTTATGAAAATATAAGTAAAATATAAAATATAATACCAACATATCATTAGAGCATTCTACTTTACAAATTAATATAGTGTTGTAAAAATCAGCCTAGGCGCTAGGCAGCCTCTTACTGTCTACGATTAATGCTAGTCAGTTGAGTTAGGCGAAGTCGGTCCTGGAAGGCTGTAGGCGGTCTAGACGGTCTAAGCTAGTAAAAAAGTTAGACAGTCAAAATTTTCAAAAAAAAATCTCCGGTTAGTCAAATTTATGATATTGGATGACTAAATTATGATAATTGATGACTAAAATTGTTGAAAAGATTCTCAATTAAGCTAAAAATGATTATATACGACGATTTAAATAATTAGACGACTGAATATGCCAAAGTTTTATGATTATTTACCTATTTTATTTGGATATAGGTAATATTTAATTTTTAAAAAATAAATTCTATTACAATTAAGGGTCTCCGCCCAGGCGCCGATTACTCCCTAACGACTTTGACAACCTTGAATTAAAGGTCATGATGATTATAGCGTCCTACTGTTTTTCATTTTTCTATTCTAGCATTGTACTTTTCAAGTACACTTAAACATAAATCCTACACATATTCCAACTACACTTAAGTTAACAATTGCCTGTGATTGTGGTGGTGACTTTGTCAGTGTGGTTGTTCCTGATCGTACATAGACACAACCGTAGAAGGTTTATACTCAATGCCTCTAATATGGTCGTGTCGAATAACCAAAATTCTTTCAAAATAATTTTTTATATCCTCTGATGTTAGACCGCTTGCTTCAGAAGAAGCTTGAGTTTGTTGATTGAGCTTTTGAAGTAAAGCATTTTGTATTTTCAAAAAATTATTAACATCATAATATATATATATATATATATATATATATATATATATATATATATATATATAAACACTTATATGAAAATACAAATTAACCACTTACATATCGTTGCTCGACTGTAGGACTACTAAACACCCGTTGATGATCGGTATTAGCCATACGAAATGCTTCGAGTCTAGTGATGTCCTACATAACATTAAAAGTTAAATTAATTATACTTTAAATAAATAGTTAAATATATCACAACTTACTTATTTGAAACAGACACTGCTATACGAGCACAGCCCCCCTCTGTTTATAACTTGTTATTGTGCACAGACTCCTTTGTTTGTCATCGAATGTTTTACAAATTCGGGCGTTTTAAAATGTTCGACTATGTGCGCCCAATTTTCATGTGACATATCCTCGGGTGGGGGTAGATAATGCCCTTAGGATATCTGCAAGCCCTCTGACATTCTGAAAATGAATATGTGCTTTACTTTTCCGGCCTCTGTAATTTTTTTGTAGAGTCGCATCAATGCTTTGCAACAACTGAGCACGCTAGGGATCCAAGTTAAACTTATCCAAATCAACCCTTCTCTACAAATATAAAAAATTAGTTAATTAAATACCAATCACAACTAAACTTAAAATATTATCATATAAATAATTTACCTTTAGATGCACGACTGTGACATTCGTTAAAGCAGGGGAGACATTGTCCCAACCATATATGCTAAAAGGGATGTTCTGACACATATATCTCCCAATCTCATGGGTAAACATATTGTCACATTTCCTGACATGGGAAAATGTGAGGTCTCTGTCGAAATCCAAATCGATAGGCTTTTCGTTGTTTGCTCGTATCAGCTTTGATAGTTGGATGTTTTTAGATAACCCTATTCTTTTTTTGGTAGATCAGATGAAATTAATCACGATAGTTTAAATTTATAATAAATGAATAAAAATAGCTAATAAATATATCATATTAACACTTATCATCCTCTTCATGTTGTTCGCGACCAAAGCCTACTGAATGTGGTGGATCCCCGACTCCATCACCTCCATATCCTAAGCCCATTACATGGACCATCATGTAAAAGAGTATCACCCAACTAAACCCCATATATAGCCTGCAAAATTATAAGATGTGCAATATAAAACACACAATATGAATATAAATTAGCCTGCAAAATTATAAGATGTACAATATAACAAACAATATGAATAAAAGTTAAGTCTTGAATTTGGAATTCAAATAAACTTTCTATTACAAAAAAACATACACATAAAGTTTTCCATAACATATGACTTTTTTTAATCATAATCTCCCTCATATACTAGAATGTCTTCTTCAGTATCATAAACAAAATTATCATCATCATAATCAGTCTCTTCCTCGAAAAGATTATCGATTCTACCCGTTGGCGGAGGTACTTCAGTCTCGTCCCCATCATCATAATCAACATTTTTTTGAGCTACATAAACATTGTTTTGAAAGTATTGTGAGAAGTCGATAAAAAGTCTTGCACCGGATGAAGAGTTGTTTTGAACTACGTCCACATCGTCAACATTTTCGGCCTCCACATTGTCGACATTTTGGACATAGTCATTGTAAGTATTTTGGACACGAGCATTGTTGGATGGTAGATCCCAAATACTCTGATGACTAACCTGCTCAACGACACAATGCGAGTTATCGTTTTGGTTTCTTTGGCGGCGACGGAAGGAATAATAGCGGCGACAGCTTTTGAGGGAATCTTTGGCGGTATTTTTCGAGTATTAGCGTCGACACTGTTGTCGGTAACTGTGTTGCCGCTAAAGGTTGCATACGATGTGGGTTTCCTATCATTGGATTAGGACTAAATCGATGGCTATGCTTTCACCTAAACTGTTGACACGGATCGATGACGAGTAATCATTAGCGACGACGCACACCTTTAGTGGCGACAAATAACGCGAAACTTGTTTGTCGCCACTAAAGGTGTGCATCGCCACGAATGAATACTATTCTTGTAGCGAACAAAACAA